CAACCAAATTTCCATTCAAAGGCTGCCATGAGACTTCCAATTTTTCAACAAAATTGGGCTGCCATGCAATTTCCCATGCAACGAAATTTCAAAGGATGAAATTTGCTTTTCCAACCACCATGCAGAACCACATGCCGCAACACCATCCCTGTAATCGCAGCGCTGGATCCCGAACATGACAACTGCTTCAATGAATATTCCAACAAAAATTGAACAAATGCAGAAATTGCCAATGGCTGTGAGAACCTTCTGAAAATGCCCAACTTGATTGGTGCTGTCTACCAAATGCTTAGCTTTACCCAAAAACGAGTGCGCACCAGTTGCAATAACAACTGCTTCTATTTCACCCTGTTTGCATGTGGAACCAGAAAACACTTCATCTGAGGGGTTTTTAGTGACAGGAAGAGATTCTCCAGTGAGAGCAGATTGATCAATCTTTAAAGGATCACCCTCAAGAAGACGAGCATCTGTAGGAATTATGTCTCCCAATTTAACGATGATTATGTCCCCTGGAACCAGAATTGAAACATCTTGTTCACTCCATCTACCATCTCTTAAAACCTACAGTTTGTCCCAGAAGAAAGAAAATAAAAACTGAAACCAAGTTTTAAGGAGCAAAAACAAGATGAATATATATAAACTGAGAGGAGCTTATGTTTTTTTTTTTTGAACAGCAAACATACTATTATTAATTAATAAGCGGAATACAAGGGGTACTCCAAATCCATATACATCAAAAGTTAACATAAGGTGTCGACACCCAAAAGAAGTGTCGACACTACGCCCGTGACGGGAATTCTGCTATCGTTTGCATTCTCAAGAAATCTCCCTGTTTAGGTCCACAAACCACACCCGACACACCCACTGACCCACAAGCCATTGATCATGCATTGACTATAGCTGAAATCCACTGCAGTCAATGATTGCTCAATAAGTCTACATGAGCCCCCATTACACAGCACCTTAATCACAAGCCCTTCGGTGTTACTTCCCTCTTTCAAACAGTTCCTACTTTACTTTACTAAGACAAGAAGCAGGATTGATTAACCAATCTGATAGATTAGAGTAACACTTGGGTTTCCTAGCTTTGATCCAAGCAAAAGATCATAATTGAATAAGTTCAAAAAGTTTGATCAAATTTACCTCAGCATTGTCAAAAAGCATTTTGTTACGTGCCGTCCACACCGTCCATAACAGTGCATTCCATATACAGTCCCACCCTTCCTTTTTGTGAGGTTTTTTGGCCACTCCCCCAAGTGTTGAAATGTTGGCCTGCATTCTTTTTGTAAAACTATTGTGATTCCCCACCACTTTGCACAAGCCTTCCACAGCCACTGAGCAACTTTGCAGTTCAAGAACAAATGGCTTGAGTCTTCCTCCTCTTCCTTACACAAAATGCATTTCTTTTCTTCCACATCTTTTATGATTCCCCGTTTGAGGAGCTTATGTTTTCACCTAAGTTTTGGGAGCAAGACCAGCCATGAGGGCTGCTGCAGCATTACCAGCTTTATTTTCTTCAATAAAACTAATGGTAGAGTTGATCAGCAACAACACAACAATAACAACAAATTCCTGCCAGTTTGGAGGTCTCCCACCCCCATTTGCCATGACAATAGCCATCATAGCAGCAGCTTCCATGACCCATGACAAAGGGTTCCACATAAAACCCAAAAACTTGAGAATCTTGCTCTCCTGTTTGCAAAACATCATATTGTCGTATGGAAGAATGCAAAATAAAGGAGGCCACATACAGTAAAAGTAATGAATCAAACTTTTTTCTCTTCTAGTTTGTTTGGTCCAAAAACTTGGAGTCGACGGGCTCCTTCCTTGGAAGTCAGTCCAGCCCTGGTACATTTCAGCTGCTCCAAAACTTCCTCTACAGGTATCCGTTCCTGAAAACAATTAGCAACTTCTTAGTCAAATAACTATTCAGGCAAAGAAGCCAATTTCATCACCCGAGCCCTATTTGACAAGCCAATTTGATAATGATTCCCTTGTCAACTACGTTACTCAAAGATGCCAAGGGGCCGTAGCCTTGCTAATGCCACTTACTTGTTTCACTTGGTTCGGTGCTTATATTCACACTTCCACCTGCATCTTTCCGGTAACATAATCATAGGCGAAATATAGCCGCTTCAAGATTTAAACTTACTCTTACTTATCAATCCTTTCCTATTTTTGGCAAAAATCGATCCATATTTTCTCCTTTGAGATGAAAGTAAAAACTACGAACGTAAATCAGAGCAACTATAAAGGTAGTACTATAAAAAGGAAATTTGTTGCAATTCATACTCAAACAGGTCATAGTTGCTTAGTTTGGTTGCCAGGAAAAAGCCAGGAAAATGTCAGAAGGGGGGTTATGGCTAGGAAAACATTTTTACAAAAATTAAGTCACGTTGAAAATAATTAAAAAGGCTCATCAGCCAGTTTTATTCTCAAATTTTCAACTTTCAAAAAAGTACCGAAAATTCTTAAAAAGTTCTTAAGACATAAGAATCCTCCATAACTTTTCGTTTTAACTCTATTTTCTCAGCAACAAAACACATGCTCACTTCCTTACCTTGTTATATGTATATGCAAATCAAGAAAAACAAATAAGGAGCTAGCTATAGCAAGAGAGAGGGAGTACCAAGTCGACTGAGTCGTTCATGATCTCCTCGAGCGTTATGGCACTATTACCGGCCATGGTTGAGGCTCAATGGAAATAGAACGGCGACGGAACCAGAGATTGCACGGCGACTAGCGATTCATATTCAAATAATCAACCTGAATTACATACGTGTCAATTATTATAACCAATTAAATAAAGCCACCTTCTCTCCCCTCCCCTTAGTTTTCTCGAACCAGAAAAAACTAGAAGAGTATGTTTTATTTTATTTGAGAGAAAAAATGATAAAAAAAGAGAACAAATTATTTTTTAATTAATTAAATTGTAAAATTAAAAATAATGCTGTCAAATGAATTATAAACTTCCAGCACTCTGACCTTTTCTTATTGCAATTCAGAAGAGTTTGATTTTTATTTTTGGCCCCATCTACTTCTGAATTCAATCTCAATCAATCTTATTCCTCTTAATTGAGATGTCTCATTTTATATGAAGTAGGTTTTGCTCCGTAGAAAGCGTTACGTGCCTGTGTCCAGTGCCTTCAGAACAAGGATAATGGCTTAATTCAATGGTTGGCTTATTAACTATTAATTTTATTTTATTTTAGTCTAAAAAGTTAGCTTTCTTTCTAAATAAATTTTGTAAATTATTTTAAAATAATATATTGTACAAAACTTTTATTAGTTTTAATAGAAAAATAACAAAAAAAATCAAAATTAAAATAGAATAGTTCTAGTTAGTAAAGCAATTCACAATAAACTATACAAATTATTAAAACATGTCAATAATTATAGTTTCTGCTATAAATGAGAATTATTAAAAGGAAAAATTGAAATAACATGTGATAAATGTTATAGTTTCTCAGACAATTGAAAAAAAACTTATCATTCTCATAAAATTAGTTTTATTTCAAAATTAATTTTAAAAAATAAAAATTCACCAAAAGTATGGTTGAAAACAAAAAACAAAGTTGAACCTAATTAGATAAGTACTAATTAAAATTATAGCTAAAAATAAAAAAGGGATAAAATTGTTAATAAAATAATAAAATTTTAATTCATTAGTAGTTTAATATAAAAAGCTACTTTAGGTAGTGTTTTCAATTTATTAGTGTTCTGGATTTTAATCGATATCCGCTAGTCTTAAACTAATAAATAAAAAAATTTATTAAACACTTAATTTATAGTGATTTCAAAATAAATAAGTTTATTAAACATCTATTTTTAGTAATTTAGATAAAACCGTTAGCCATTATCTCTAAATCGTTATAACAAATAAATGCTTAATAAAACAAAGATAGGAGGGACGGAAAAGTTTTGATAAACAAAATAATAGTGCCAAATGTGTAGAATATTGTACGTGTTTTGTATATATATATATTAATATTAATATTTATAGTCATGCTATTTTTGTATTAACTTTTATATCTTTTTAGATTAATTTTTCTTTGATTAATTTTAAAAGTGTATTTCACATTAACCTGATATATTTAAAAAAATAATAATTTTTTAAAATATTGATTACAAAATTTGAATGCATAACCTGATTTAAATCCACAACTCCTTTGGGTGATGACCATATGATATAATATTAGAATGGCTGAATTCAACACCAAACACTTGGTACATGCCTTTCTAGTTTTTTTTTTTATCAGCAAAGCAAACATACTATATATATTAAAGAAGGAGCATAAGAAATACTCCCAAAAACAGAGTACAGTCCGGAGAAATCAAGGAACACAACCCAGTTTACCTACTACATACAATAAACTTAAAATCTGTTCCAGCAAAACATAAACGGCCTGCACACCCAAAAACCTCACCCTGTCCTAGAATCCATACAACAGAGTAAAAGCACAGATTGTATACCTCCCCCCCGTTAGCTAGGGGCCCCTATTGCCTTCGAGAATTGCTTCCTCATTCTTTTGTGCCGTTTGACATCCTTTGCACATTCCATCGGACAAGATTGCCATTCATAAAAGGAGAAAACGCATCCCTTCACTTTAGACTTCAACCATAAGAAGGTTTTTACTTGCACCTTTTCCAGCATATTCTCTGGAATTCCTTCATCTTCTCGAAATATCTGAGTGTTCCTTCTATACCACACATGCCTTTCTAGTTTTAAAAGCAGAAAAACTTCTCGTGACAATTTGATTTTGATATCAAGACGGACCAATTCCTTATTCATTACATGTCATACCCCACATCTGGGCCCAGCTCAAGTAAGGAATTTAGGTTTTAGTGACCTTACTTAGGTCTGTCGATTCGTTGCGCCCGACTCGTATTAAATACTGAGGATTGGGATAAGGAGCCTCCCTGTCAAGGCCCGTATATATAATTGATATGAGGAGAAATATTTATTTATTTTTATATAATTTTATATGTTATTTAGT